ATTTAGTGTTTGACAGACTCTTATAAGTCAGAACATGATTTGACCTGCTTGAGTCAGTTTACAGAACACAATTTCCAATCAAAGCTATGTGTTCTTCCTCTTAGTCCCCTTCTGAATCTGCCACTGTTGAGTTTATTAATTGATAAGTTTTAAGAAACAATTAAGTCAAATGGTTATTTATCTTAGAGGATCTTGCATGTATTTCGTGTGTATTTTATCTGACTTTTCCATACATATCATTAATATCATATGGCAATGCCTGACTTAAAAATTTCAATAAATTTAGTTTTTGACTGATATTTTTAAGTCAGAACATGATTTGACCTGTTTAAGTCAATTTGTCAGAACATAATTTGACCTGTTCAAGTCAGTTTGCAGAACAAAATTTCCAATTAAAGCTAGGTGTACTTCCTTTAAGCCCTGCTTCTGAATCTGCCATTTTTGAGTTTATTATTTGATAAATTTTTAGAAACAATTAAGTCAAATGGTTATTTATTTTAGGGGATCTTACATATATTTCCTATGTCTTTTATCTGACGTTCTCATACATTCATTAATATCATGTGGAAGTGTCCAACTTTAAAATTTCAATAAACTTAGTTTTGGACTGACTGTTTTAAGTCAGAACATGATTTGACCTGTTTAAAACAAAATACATTTAATATTGAATATACCAAATAAACTTTTTTATAGTCCTCATTATTGTGACTTTAGGGGACCTTATTTCCTCTGTCTTTTATCTGGCTTTCCCATACATTTTTAAATCAATACGACAATACTAGACTTAAAAGTTGTATTAATAAGTTTAGTTTTGACTGACTCTTTGAAAGCAGAGCATGATTTGACCTGTTAAAGTCAGTTTACAGAACAAAATTTCCAATCAAAGCTAGGTGTTCTTCCTCTAAGCCCCCCCCCCCCCCCCCCCCCCCCCTGTAAATATGAATCTGCTACTGTTGAGTTAATTAATTGATAAGTTTTTTTAGAAACAATTCAGCCAAATGGTTATTAAAATTTTATTTTTTTTGGCAACCACAAGTTCTATGTGTAAACTTAACAGAAAAGAAAAATGTCATGAAAATACAGAAATAAAATAAAATTTTAAGATAATTTGATGAAAATCTTTAAAAACAAAATGCATTTGATATTGAATATACCAAATAAACTTTTTTATAGTCCTCATTATTGTGACGTAAGGGGACCTTATTTCATCTGGCTTTTATCTGGCTTTCCCATACATTTTAAAATCAATATGAAAATCCTAGACTTAAAAAATGAAATAAGTTTAGTTTTGTTTGACTCTTTGAAGTCAGAACATGATTTGACCTGTTAAAGTCAGTTTACAGAACAAAATTTCCAATCAAAACTAGGTCTTCTTCCTCTAAGCCCCCCCCCTTTTTCCCTTTATCTGAATCTGCTACTGTTTAGTTAATTAATCATGTTAATTGATAAGTTTTTTTAGAAACAATTCAGTCAAATGGTCTTTAAAATAATATTTTTTACAACCAAAAGTTCCATGTGTTAACTTAACAGAAAAGAAAAAGTCATGAAAATACAGAAATAGAATAAAATTTTAAGATAATTTGATGAAATTTGTAAACAAAATACATTTGAATATTACATATACCAAACAAACTTTTTTATAGTCCTCATTATTGTGACTTTATTATTGGGTGTCTTTTATCTGTTTTTCCCATACATTCTTAAATGCATATGACAATGCCAGACTTAGAAGTTGCAATAATTAGTTAAAGTATAGTTTTTGACTGACTCTTTGAAGTCAGAACATAATTTGACCTGTTTAAAACAAAATACATTTAAATATTGAATATACCAAATAAACTTTTTTATATAATCCTCATTATTGTGACTTTAGGGGACCTTATTTCCTCTGTTTTTTATCTGGCTCTCCCATACATTTTTAAATCAATATGACAATACTAGACTTAAAAGTTGTAATAAGTTTAGTTTTGACCGACTCTTTGAGGTCAGAACATGATTTGACCTGTTAAAGTCAGTTTACAGAACAAAATTTCCAATCAAAGCTAGGTGTACTTCCTTTAATCCAAGAAAGTCCTTCCTTTCAGACTGCTTCTGAATCTGCCATTTTCGAGTTTATTATTTGATAAATTTTTAGAAACAATTAAGTCAAATGGTTATTTATTTTAGGGGATCTTAACATATATTTCCTGTGTCTTTTATCTGACGTTCCCATACATTCATTTAATATCATATGGCAATGCCCGGCTTAAATATTTCAATAAATTTATTTTAGTTTTGGACTGACTCTTTTAAGTCAGAACATGATTTGACCTGTTTAAAACAAAATACATTTAATATTGAATATACCAAATAAACTTTTTTATAGTCCTCATTATTGTGACTTATGGGGACCTAATTTCCTCAGTCTTTTATCTGGCTTACCTATACATTTTTAAATCAATATGACAATACTAGACTTAAAAGTTGTAATACGTTTAGTAAGTCAGAACATAATGTGACTTGTTTGAGTCAGTTTGCACAACAGTATTTACCTCAATGAAATATTAAAATAATAAATGTTTTGCTCTTAATACATTTAGCTTAAAGTGGATGAGAATATATCTTTTATCACATAGTCTTATCATGAATAAGTGTCTTGTTTTTCCTTGGAAGATTTGAAGTATTGTCATGTAATGTATCCAATATTGTATTTTGTAAATCTTTTGATATTCAGAAAATTGTATGATCCATTTTTTCTCACCTGGTTTTTCTTTGTATTTTGAAATAATTGAAAGTGATGAGATAAATATATTATGTTTAGATTCTGGAAAGGAGAAGGTATGATGTCAGATGAGCCCCACTTTTTAAAACTCTTTAATTCGAAACTAGTAATCACCATATTTTTATGGAGATTGATAACAAAGTGGTAGTAATGACTGCTTCAAATCAGAACAAAAATGACCTCTCGAAGTCAAAATGCATTAAAAAGGGGCATAAATCTTATTAGAATATGAAGATATTAAGTCACAATATTTTGTGCAAAATCTGACCTGTGGAAGTCATTTTATGATAAATTAAAGTCTGACATAAACTGACCGGTACAAGTCATATTCTGTTGAGTGCAAGAAGGGAGACAACACTTACATCAAATTATATCTGACCTATGGAAGTCATTTTATTCTGACTTGTTTATGTCAGAGCTCTGACTGTTTCTCGGCTGTTACAGTATTTGTTTGCTCCATTGTAGGGTTCAATCGCCGATTGTTTGCCAGGGATGGCTCTATGAACAAATTTAGTAGGCCACGTGTAGATTGCCGCTTTGGTTTGTTTATAATAAATCCATAAACCAGTACCGGAAATTGGCAGCGGGTACATCTGATAACCGATGTAAACACTTATTGGAAACAGTTGCGGTTCATCTAATTACCGATGTAAAAAAGTGTCGCAATATGCACTACAACGTCCGTTTTTACATCGGTCAAAGGGATCGGCACTAGCCTTCAAAATACTGATCCGAGCCTCATTTTGACCGACAGGACCGACCATTTTCGCGAACTCTGCAATCTTTTTTTTTTTGGTCTGTTTATAGGGAACTACTGGTGTAAGGTCAAGGATATTTGGTATGTAGTTGTATAAGCATTGGCATATCTCATTTCCATGGAGATTATTTGGCCCACCCCCTCAGTCATGGTCTATTGACTTTGAAACCTTTGCTTAGTTTACATGTATTAGTTTGTGATTAGGTCAGTTTAAGGGGAACTGTTAGTCAGTTAGTGGTAGGTCAATGATTATTGGTATGCAGTTGTATAAGCATTAGCACATCTCATTTCCATGGAGAATATTTGGTTCTTACCCCTCAGTCATGGTTCATGGACTTTGAAACTTTTGCTTAGTTTACATGTATTAGTTTGTGATTAGATCAGTTTAAGAAGAACACTAATGTTAAGTCAATGATATTTGGTATGCAAATTTATTGGCATTTGAAAGTTTCATTTCCATGGAGATAATATAGCCCCACCCCCTCATCATGGTTCATTGACTTTGAAATTTTTACATAGTTTACAAGTTAATGTTTGTGTTTAGGTTTGTGTAAAGGGAACAAATAATGTTAAGTCAATTGTATTTGGTATGCAGTTGTATTAGCATTGGCACATCTCATTTCCTTGGAGATTGTTTAGACCTTTACTTTCTGTCATGGTTCATTCACTTTGAATATTTGCATAACTTACATGTTTATTGTTAAAAGTATTGCTATTTTAATTTCAACATTTGTACTATCAAATGTATCAAAATAACAAATAGGCAAGACATATCTCTTTGTTAACAGTTTATTTAATGTTATTGTTATGCATATGAACATTGCAGCTTATCATCTGAGAATAAAATTATGTAAAACACCACAATTCTTTTTTTATCTTGTAAAACATCATTACATATATATATATTGACCAGAAAACAAACATCTTAAACAATTACAATGGCCAATAACATTGTATGTCACAGAGATGCTCAACTGTCAATCTAGTCATGCTAGTATTTATGTTCTCACTTACTTCTTTCTGCTTTGTTTCAACCAAAACAAAAGGATTAAAAAAAATAAGTTACCTTTCTAAGGTTTTCATCAGTATTCATTAACGGGACCAGTTGGTATTTCTTTTTTTAAAAGAACAGCCACATAATAATCATCTTTTAATTATTGGGCTGGTTAATTTAAAGTTGGTCTGGTGTGAGTTGTCATGGATTCATGTAAACATTAAACAACCTTATGTCTGATGGTTACATGCTAAAAGTTATTTCACTGTCATGACTGTATGATTAGCAAACATTACATTAATTCAAAAAAAAATTTAGTTAAGTATGATTAGAAACACACCAGGAACTACTTGTGTCTTTTAACATGTTTAAGACAATTGCTGGGGATGATGGTTGAATCAAGTAATTTGATCGATGAAACTGATTGGTTTTTTTTTCAAGACTTTCTTAGTTGTCTAGCGAGTATATGATATGTATTTTTTTTTCAGGTTTGAAAATGAGCGATTCTCAGTCACCCTTGGTTTCCACTCCTTCAAGAATAACTGACTACTTTCCACCAAGTCCAAAGACAAGTCAAGAAACTGGTAAGATATAATCTTGATTATCAAAATGAAAATTAAACCTATGTCTTCAATGTTAAAGTTCATATGTCAAGGTGCATATAAAAATTAAAGATACATCCCAAAATATGTTTGTACCTTTACATGCTTTACATGAGCCAAGGCTCCATGTTGAAGGCCGTACTTTGACCTATAACATGTATAATTGTTAACTTTTTATACATTGTTACTTGGATGGAGAGTTGTCTCATTGGCACTCATACAACATCTTCTTATTTATACATGTTATATTTAGTAAAAACAACTATTGAACTGCTGATCACTGTCAAGTATTTGCCGCTGTTCATTTACTAAGTAACTAACATCACTAACGTTACCTATTGTTTACATTGCCTATTGTATACGTAATGTTGCCTTGTGCGCAACATCTCATTACTTCAATACAATTTGTATGAACACAAGCCTTATTAATTCGAAGCGAAGTACTGACCACAAGATTCACGATAATCACAGCAAGGTATGCATGGTCATGATGGTAGTCTACTAAAAAACACCCAAAGGGTATCTTTTCTAAAAATCACTCATGCTGGTGTCGAGTAATTCACAGTGAAAATAGGGTGATTCATAGTGAAAACACATTGATTATACCACTCTGTCATTGAATATCTCTTGAATGTGTTGAGTGGTATTTGAGAACAAATTACCATCAATCTGCAGCATTCAGTCTGACAAGGCACCAAGAAGAATAATTAACACTCTCACCATGTGTGTGCTGTATAAGCATAACCTTACACTATTTAGAGAGATCATGGAAGTATTATATTGACAGAAACTACAATGATTTATTAGCACTTATTTAAAACCCAGGGAGCGCTGTAGAAAGATATTTCAAGATAATTAACATGTCATTAAATTGCATGCGGCATCGAAGATAAAACGTTTGAAGTCGGGTAGTAGTAGTTCCTGTCAATATGATACATGTACTTCCATGGAGAGATCAAAAGGCTTTGACATGTTTGAAATCGATCCATGTCCAAAAACAATGAAACTACAAATACAGTTATGATTTATCACAAAACAAATGTGTGTTAAGAATCACTTTAAGGTCTCCTTCCTAATAAAGGTAGGTTTTTTTGTAGATTGGATTTTTTTTTTATGTTAGAATCTGGAAAATATTGTGTTTTCACAAAGTTGGGTTTTAGTATTATACATGCACTTGACATGAACATCTGCAATTTGCACATTTAACAAGATTTCACATGTTTTATTTTAATTAATTCTGTCTTGTATATTGATGAAATATAAACATTGTAAAGTTAACAGTTACAACAATTGATATGTTGTTGAAAAGTCTCAAGGTTAAGTCCACCGAAAAACCCTTAACAAATCCCTTTTTTTTTCTAAGTATAAATTTATAATTAATCATCTTTTTAAAACAAATAAATTTTGATTTTTCCCCTTGAGGAAATGCAAAATTGTTTATATTTACTTTTGTTTTAATGAACATGCATGCAATTTTGTTATCCAACATACCTGTTCATCTGGTATTGTGTAAAGAAAAATCAGAAGGAAAAACAAAGACAAATATAAGATAAACAAAATAGTTGTATATTGTTGCCAACATGTGCTTTGTTGGGCTTATATGGATATGGTTTTATATGCATAATATTCTTTCAGAGGATAAGGATGAAAAATTCAAAGAAACCAAAACTAGCAAAATTGACATTTCCAATTCTTCAATATTATTGACCCCTGAACCCTCACCTGCCAAAGACAATGAAAAAGACCAAAAAGATAAAGTTGAAACAGACAGTAACTCTAGTACTGAACAACCTAAATGTAAACAGGTACTGTAATATTGCTATAGAAGGTTGTGTGTTAGATTTCTTGTATAGATATTGATGGTTAAGAAATTAAAATTTTCCTATCAATTCAATTGTCACAATTCCTTTGGCATGTTTGGTACATATTTTTTAAGTTACTTATCTGGTTTTCTAGATGCACCTTTTTTTTTAAGTTAAGTTCATTCGAGTTTTTTACAAAAAAAGAAAGTATTAATCTTAACAAAACATTAACTAGCAGGCTTTAGAATTTATCATAAAAGATCTAATTAATGACAATTTCACATAAACAGAGTTAATCATTTAGCTTTATTTTTCACTGGTTATCAGCAGTAAAAAAAGTTGTTTGTAAAGAAATTGAATAGTTCAGTCCAAGCAGAAAAAGACTTTCATTATTACAATTTATGAACAATTTCTTTTGCTTGATGGATTTCATGAAGTCACTAATTCCATTTGTAAATATAAGATTCATTATTGTTAAGTTTTACCCTTGTCAGTACATCTGTCAGTCCGTCTGAAACTTTATACACAATGCTTATTACCACCAAACACAGATAAAGTTCTAATTTGGGTGGCACCCTTTCTCCGTTCTTGAGTTATGTCCCTTTGTGAATTGAAAAATTTCAGAATTAGCAGTATATTTACATGCGGGGGCATCTGAGTCCCATGAGCACATTATTTATTTTTTTCAATACAGAGTGAACTATATATTCAATATGTATCCTAATCTATTGTTGGTATCTTCAAGGTTCTTTTAGAAAAATATGAAGAAAAAGATGCAGAAGAAGAAAAGCCTAATGGTGGACCAAAGAAATCAACAAAAACGGTGTCTACTTCACAGAATAAGAAGAAATCATCAAGGAAAAAGTTGGTTTAGATTTTCAAACCATTTTTCATTTAGATTCAATATTATTCGAAAAAATGAAATATTTTACAAAAGTAAAGAGAATAAAGTATTCTGATTACATGTAGGTGTTTAAAGTGAACCATTATTAAAGGTCCTTTTACAATATTAAAAGACTTGACTTACCTGAAGTCCTTTGACCAAAAAATGTACATTAACAGAATGTAAGTTTGTGGAGACTATAATTAAGTTCAGAAAAAAGGATAAGGTATGTTAAGGTCATAGTTTTAGGGCTTTATTTTGAATATAAATCCAATCCATCAAACAACCTCCCTCAGATGTTCCTATGTTTTTTGTCTTAAATATAAACACGAGGGCTTCAAATTTCTTGCCTTTAAATCCAAATCTGCAGAAACATCATAGTAACATTAGCATGATTAGGAATGACATTCCTACATTTAACATTTTTCAGATTAAAACACTTATAATTTATCAATAGAAATAACAGTGTGAAAGGCGTGAAGAATACCACTTTATTAGGGATCATAGATTTATTGTCGAGCCTTCAACTTTTGTCGAAAAGCGAGACATAGCGATCCTACATTCCGTCGTCGTCGGCGGCGTCCACAAATGTTCACTCTGTGGTTAAAGTTTTTGAAATTTGAATAACTTTGTTAAACTATCCTGGATTTCTACCAAACTTGGACAGAAGCTTGTTTATGATCATAAGATAGTATCCAGAAGTAAATTTTGTAAAAAAAATCCATTTTTTTCCGTATTTTACTTATAAATGGACTTAGTTTTTCTGCCAGGAAACATTACATTCACTCTGTGGTTAAAGTTTTTAAAATTTTAATAACTTTCTCAAACTATCCTGGATTTGTACCAAACTTGGACAGAAGCTTGTTTATGATTAAAAGCTAGTATCTAGAAGGAAATTTTGTTAAAATTTTGTTCCTTTTTTCCGTATTTTACTTATAAATGGACTTAGTTTTTCTTCCAGTTAACATTACATACAGTCTGCAGTTTAAGTTTTTAAAACATTTATAAGAATCATAAACTATCCTGGATTTTTACCAAACTTGGACAGAAGCTACTTACAATCAAAAGATACTATAGAGAGGAATATTTTTATTAATTTTTTTCCTCATTTTTGTTGAGCCTGCAATTAACAGCAAAAGTAGGCGAGACTCTGGGTTCCGCAGAACCCTTACAAATTTTTCTTATGAGGAAGCAGCGAGCATGCTTGGAGAATGCTTGGATGTATTTGAACAGACCAGATGTTTTCACAGGTGTTAATTGAGCTTGCTCTATAATGCTAGGCTTTCCTTTTTATAGAAGTGCTATAGATTTGATTGACGTGCTGTAGATTTGATTGACATCTAAATGGAACATGATAATAATTTTCACATAAACTGATGAGAAGAGCCTACTTAAAAAGCTCGGAGCATGCTCGGAGCTTCCTCGTAAGAATAAATCTATGATCCCTTATGAAATATCAGGGACCAAATAATGCCTCTTTTATGTGCACTTTTAGGTAGATTTCGCTTACATTTTTCCCTTTTTAGATCTTGGTGACAACACTATGTTTCTTGGTTATGGTAGATAATTGTAGATTATCAATGGCTTTTCAAACTAGAGAGTGTTTCTCAGCTTCAATCTTATGGAGAGTGACAGCCCCGAGATTTTTAGTCGAGAAACATCCTGAAGTTTGTAAGACCATTAATAATCTAGTTATCACGATTTCTTTAGGCTAAATCAATAACATCTTACATTCTCTTTCTTCAAGTCTGAAAAAAACCCATATCACTTGAGTAGTGTGATATGACAAATTATCTCTAAGTAAAAAAGAGGTCAAGCAAAATCGTAGAAAAAAAGAAATGATTTAAATTATAAAAAAAACAACTTATTTCATGATGAGTCCCTTGTACCAGTTCTCGTATTTGAACATGAAAAAAATATCCTGTATTCTCTGTCTTAATTTTACAGAAAGACAGCAGAGCCAAGTCTACAGAACAGCCTGTTGACAGACTTCTACCCTGTCAGACGTAGTAACAGGAGATGTAAATCTGAATTAGAGGTTTGTTTTTATAAATAATACAGTTTCAAGTCAGAATTGGTAAATTTTAATTTATATTTACACACTTTTTGCATTAAGTAGGCAAACTGATAAATAAATAATATACTAATATATGTCTTAAAACAAGTATGATTAATAATTGATTAATTTTCTAAGCTAAATAAGTTTTGAACTCTGTTGATTTTAAAATGACATACAATCATTTCATTATTGTTGTCTTTAAAAGTTCCAGAATGGTGCTTTTGGCAATATCTGGTTAAACTTTTGTATGATTTAGGTTCTTACTTTTTAATTTATATATTTGTGATTGTTGGTACTGAAAAATCAAGCCAAAATCCCCAAACCGTGCTTTAAACAAAATTTACCAACCACTGATTTGTTTATATTCCATATGAGCTGCTTCGGATAGCAAATGAATATCAATACATCTGTTAACCTATTTTGGGTTGGACAAATCTCTAAGTCTGTAACTGAAAATTGAGTTGATATGAGAACCCTACATAACAGACCAAAATTCATCTTTTATTACATATTTGAATGTTCTAAATCAATTAAAAGTCTTATACATGTACACTGACAAAAATATAGAGATTTCAAGAAATTTTATCCACTCAATTTACAGAAATTATTTCATTGGATATGTATCAGTTTGACAAACACTAATTTGGATCATTGAGAAGCTTAGATTTGTCTGTAATTGTATTTTTGAGCTGATTTCTAAAGAGTTAACTCCCTTAAGTGTTTTGTACCCCCTTAAATGAACTGATTTTGTATAGCTTTTATTCTAGTTTGTTTAAACAGCAACCACAAAAAGATTGAATCTAAAATTCAGCAAAATTTAACTATTATTAATAAGTTTCTATCCAATTTTATTGTAACATTTTGTGTGTAATATTTTATAACATATTGTTGAAATAATCATATACGGCAATAAAGAATATTGTTTATACCAACACAAATTGCCATTTATATTAATTAGTTTGGCAGGTGTTCTTGCAAATTTCATGTAATTAGAACAATTATTTATGACACCACCTGTATTCCTTAATAAACAAACAATGACACAATTATTCATACACATGTGAAGCCATTTGAGATCTAATTATAGAGTAATTGGTTCCTATTGTTCACATGTCATTAATTTCATACATGTAAATTTCACAATGTAAATTTCACAATTAATTTCATTTGAATATGGTAACTATGGCATGTAGTACTGCTAAAAGAGTTAGACTGAATAGAAAGACAATAGACTACTCAATAATGGACAGTGAGGGTTTGGTTGATGATGCTGTTGTGTCTTCAGAATTAGATAATTTAATGGTGATTTTTTTTAGACATAAACATGATAAAAAAATTCATTAGTTCACTTTTAACAAGTTCTGTAATCTTTTGGAATAGAACTATCTAAAGGACAGTTTGGCTTGACATTCTTTTTAAATCATATTATTTACATAGTGTATCATAGTTATCACACACCAAGGGAATTGTGCCTTATAACTTGTTTAACGTATAGTGATAAGAAATGCCATTATTGAAACTGAAATGAATACTGAAATGATATAAAATCTTTTGGCATATGATTATAAAACTAAAGAAAGTGTATTAAACAGTTAATAAGGATATTGGCAAAACACAACTATCAAGAGAGAGAACATTTAAATTCAAACACATTTGAAAATTTATATAAGAAAACTATAAGAATATATCAGGTAATACTTATACAAGTGTTTTTAAATAACTGATACAGGTAAATTATTTTGGTGTTAGAGTAATATCCCTTAGACATTGTCTTTCATTAATAGTTGTCTTTACTATTCATAAAAGTATAATTTCATGGACAACCAAAATCTTCTCTGTCTGTTATCTTCAAAATACTGCTATTTACAAGCTTTCAGGGAGCAATTTTTGAAGGCCTTCTGCAGTTACTTAACATCAGTGCGCAATAGATTTCTTTGTTTAGTTATTGAGATAAATGGTTGAACTAAATATTGCATCTGCAAGTAAATAAACTTGACTTGTATAAGGGATCATAGATTTATTCTTATGAGGAAGCTCCGAGCATGCTCTGAGGATGCTCAGAGCTTTTTCGGTAGGCTCTCCTCTGCAGTTTATGTGAAAATAATTATCATGATCCATTAAGATGTCAATCAAATCTACACCACTTCTATAATAAGGAAAGTAGAGCATTATAGAGGAAGCTCAATTAACACCTGTGTAAACATCTAATTTATTCAAATACATTTTGCCTGAAATTTTACAAAACTATAGAATAGATTAGAAATTCTTCAACAGTACTGTGTAATGCTTGGAAAAAAATCTCATGTCTCCACAAAAAGTGAAAGTCTTTAACAAAAAATATACAATTATTATATTTTTAAAATAATTATTTCTTTTTTTATAATAAAAAAAATTCTCAAATCTTATAATTAGATGATATGATTTAAATATAGTTTATATTATATAAAATGCTACATAAAGTTATCAAGACACAAACAACAGTCAGGGGGCGATACTAAACAAGTTATTTTTTTAGTTACTTATATTAATAGGTATTTTTTGTTTTTTTAAATTATTTGATATAATCTCAATTGTTATTTTAAATGTCAAAAGTGGACTAAATGTAGTTTTTAAGAATTTTTATATCATTTCATTAAGTAAAATTAAGTATTTATCCAACTTGAGATGAGTATAGAGAGATTACTTTAAAAATAGTGACAAAAATATTACTTTTATAAATTATTTTATATATCTTCGGAAAACTAAGCGAAAAGCTAAGCACAATTATTTAAGGAACATATGTAATTGTTTTTGATAAATATTTCAAATTATAAATAACTTCAAGTCTTAATTAAATCACAAGGTTCCATCCATTTATATTTGTTCATCTCTAAGATTTTGAAGGAAAATGTTATTTTAATAGCCCCAAGAGACCAATCTATGACCAAAAAGTGTGGCATCAGAAAGGCAATTAGTGTTTCAGGAGGATTTAAATAGTTTTATACTGCATGGGGAAAATAACCAGATGTGAAAATTTGTTAAAGCTTGTAAAACCTGTATGAATGGACACCTATAGAAATAATATTAACAGAAGTTACTTATTCATGATATATAAGTAATATTTGAAACAACCTTGTTTTCAATATAACTTGTATAGGTTATTTTGATTGATTGATTGTTGGTTGCTTAACGTCCAGTGGCAAATATTTCATGCATATTCAGGACGAGAACAAGTTCACAATAAATACAATAGGTAGGTTCTGTAATAGATTAAGGGATTAAGGTCGGAGAAATTTAGACTGCCACGGGAAATGAGGGAATATTGGATAGGGACAGAAATTTAGCCTTGCAACAGGTCACCTACGGACCCCTCAAAGAGTTGTTGCAAGGGTTCTTAACGTGCCAAGAGCGTGGCACTCTCTTTACACGAGGCATCAGATTTAACATCTCCATTCTGACCGGACGTGGCTGCAAATTTGTACATCCAGCACAGCCAAACGGACGCCCCACTTTAGCACGGGTTTTACTGCCGGTCGGAGGAAGACCAATGGTGACCATACTTCTATTCCCCAGTCACCCTTGGGGGCAGGTTATTTTGAAAATTACTAGTTTAAGTAATGCCCTCAACTAAACAATGGTATTTTTTTTTATAAAATAGCAAAGTTAGTTTTTTATATAAAATATTTTTGCAATTTTAGGGGACATGGCTACTAAAGCTTGTAAACAGAGAAAAAAAAAGGGGGATAGAATTTGGTTGGTTAATTCTGGTGATGTCTTCTTTCTTATATGCACTGAAAAATTATGTTGTTTTATTACTATAGTACAGGACAAGAAAAAACTTTACTCATGTCAAGTATTTCTTTATTTAAAACATAGATAAATTCTGCACATATTTTTGGAAAAATACCAATTAAACAAAGACTGATAGGGGGAAACAATTTTATATTAGATTTTCATTCAAGTACAGGTCAAGATAAAACTTCACTTCTTTATTTAAAATAAAACCAAATCTGCACAATTATAAAAAAAATGACAATTAAAGTGAGACGTACTAGAGGGAAAACAATGGTGGTTTTACCTCCTCAACCTTTCTTAGAGTAGCCATGATTTTTTTTATAAAAAACTAACTTTGCTATTTTATAAAATTATCATTGTTTTAATAGTTAGGGGCATTACTTAAAAAAGTAATTTTCAAAATTACTTATACAAGTTATATTGAAAACAAGGTTGTTTCAAATATTACTTATATATCATGAATAAGTAACTTCTGTTAATATTATTTCTATAGGTGTCCATTCATACAGGTTTTACAAGCTTTAACAAATTTTCACATCTGGTTATTTTCCCCATGCAGTATAAAACTATTTAAATCCTCCTGAAACACTAATTGCCTTTCTGATGCCACACTTCTTGGTCATAGATTGGTCTCTTGGGGCTATTAAAATAACATTTTCCTTTAAAATCTTATAGTTGAACAAATATAAATGGATGGAACTTTGTGATTTAATTAAGACTTGAAGTTATTTATAATTTGAAATCTTTATCAAAAACAATTACATATGTTCCTTAAATACATGTAATTGTAAGTATGCTTAGTTTTTCGAAGATGTATAAAATAATTTATAAAAGTAATATTTTTGTCATTTTTTTAAAGTAATCTCTCTATACTCATCTCAAGTTGGATAAATACTTAATTTTACTTAATGAAATGATGAAAAAATTCTTAAAAACTACATTTAGTCCACTTTTGACATTTAAAATAACTATTGAGTTTATATCAAATAATTTAAAAAAACAAAAAATACCTATTAACATATATTAAGTAACTAAACAAAATAACTTGTTTAGTATCGCCCCCTGACTGTTGTTTGTGTCTTGATAACTTTTATGTAGCATATTATATAATATAAACTATTTTTAAATCATATCATCTATTATAAGATTTGAGAATTTTTTTATTATAAAAAAAGAAATGATTAATAAATATAATAATTGTATATTTTTTGTTAAATGACTTTCACTTTTTTGTGGAGACTTGAGATTTCTTTCCAAGCATTACACAGTACTGTTGAAGAATTTCTTATCTTTTCTATAATTTGTAAAATGTCATGCAAAATGTATTTGAATAGATCAGTTGTTTACACAGGTGTTAATTGAGCTTCCTCTATAATGCTCAACTTTCCTTATTATAGAAGTGGTGTAGATTTGATTGACATCTTAATGGATCATGATAATTATTTTCACATAAACTGCAGAGAAGAGCCTACTGAAAAAGCTCCGAGCATCCTCCGAGCATGCTCGGAGCTTCCTCGTAAGAATAAATCTATGATCCCTAAGTATTACCCCAGACTAATAGAGTTGCAATTCTGATGATTTTATAGTTCCATGATATATGTATAAATACTACATACATGTGTACATGTATGACAACAAGTTGTGTATGTGTGGTTAGAGAGTAATACATTATCTATGGCTTTAAAAAAGGAGCTTCTCTGCTGTAATCTCTATCGAACAATGGTAGCTGAGATGAGACATCCTCAAATTTGGAGACTAAATACTCTGTTTAGCTCATGTCTTCATTGCAATCTTGTTCGACTTGACTGAGAAATTAAAAATCGGCTGTCAATCAAGAAGCTTGAGATGGAGAATTATCACTCTGAATAAAAGAAAAATTTTAAAATTAGTGATAATCATTTTAAGCAAGTTTGTTGCCATTTTTAATGGGCAAAAACATGACAAATACACAGAATGTGTTGAATATTTGTTGGTAGTAATGAAATATAAAGCAAAAAAAAAACCAAAAAAAAACCAGAAATATTTATCATACTGATATTATATATACATAACTGTGATTAAGAAAGAAACATCATAGCTAGTAAGTCTGTAATAGACAGGCATCATGGAAAATTGTGTACAAATAATTCTTTATGAAGGCAATGAAATATTTAATTTTATCATTTTTTTTCAGAAAGATAAACAGTGTGAGATAGAGGATAAAATTTTAAACAAAAAAGAAGAAGGTCTGAAGGTAACATAATTTAGCCAAAAATCTTTTTAAGATTTTACATGTTTAATGTCTTAAATACAAAATCTGCATTAGGTTCTCTAACTTTGGTCTTAATTATCACTTTTCCATTTGGAAATCATACCACAGAACCTGACAATTTAAAAAAAAAATGTATTGCAGGTTTCATGGTCATTGTTGTCCTCAATATGCATGAAAAAAATTTTCACTGGACTTTAAGCTAACCATCAATCAATATATCAGGGTTTGGAGAAAAAACATTTGATTTCAGTTATTACAACTAACTAAAAATTTCATAAATACATTATTTTGTGGTGTATTGCATTTACTGCACATTTTATATCATAAAATTTTGATTTTTCTCCATGTTTAATTCCTCACTATGAATTTGACATGAAGAACAGCAATAAAAGCTGCTGTTTTTTTGTCGAGCCTGCGACTTTTGTTGCAGAAAGCTCGACAAAGGGATAGTGATCCGGCGGCGGCTACGGCGGCGGCGGCGTTAGCTAACTTCTTAAAAGCTTTATATTTTAGAGGGTGGAAGACCTGGATGCTTCATACTTTGTATATGGATGCTTCATGTTACGAAGTTTCCGTCAGTCACATGTCCAATGTCCTTGACCTCATTTTCATGGTTCAGTGACTACTTGAAAAAAAAGTTAAGATTTCTTGTAATGTTAAATTCTCTCTTATTATAAGTAATAGGATAACTATATTTGGTATGTACGTACCTTGCAAGGTCCTCATGCCCGTCAGACAGTTTTTACTTGACCTCGACCTCATTTCATGGATCAGTGAACAAGGTTAAGTTTTCGTGGTCAAGTCCATATCTCAGATACTATAAGCAATAGGTCTAGTATATTCGGTGTATGGAAGGACTGTAAGGTGTACATGTCCAACTGGCAGGTGTCATCTGACCTTGACCTCATTTTCATGGTTCAGTGGTTATAGTTAAGTTTTTGTGTTTTGGTCTGTTTTTCTTATACTGTATGCAATAGGTTCTACTATATTTGGTGTATGGAAGGATTGTAAGGTGTACATGTCTAGCTGGCAGGTGTCATCTGACCTTGACCTCATTTTCATGGTTCAGTGGTTATAGTTGAGTTTTTGTGTTTTGGTCTGTTTTTCTTATACTGTATGCAATAGGTCTACAATATTTGGTGTATGGAATGATTGTAAGGTGTACATGTCTAGCTGGCAGGTGTCATCTGACCTTGACCTCATTTTCACGGTTCAGTGGTCAAAGTTAAGTTTTTGAGTTTTGGTCTTTTTTTCTAATACTGCATGCAATAGGTTTACTATATTTGGTGTATGGAATGATTGTAAGGTGTACATGTCTAGCTGGCAGGTGTCATCTGATCTTGACCTCATTTTCATGGTTCAGTGGTCAAAGTTAAGTTTTTGAAATTTGATCTTTTTTTCTAATACTATATGCAATAGTTCAACTACATTTGGTGTATGGAAATATTTTATCATCTATATGTCAGTCATGCAGGTTTTATTTGACCTTGACCTCATTTTCAAGGTTCATTGCTCAGTGTTAAGTTTTTGTGTTTTGGTCTGTTTTTCTTAAACTATAAGCAATAGGTCAACCATATTTGTTGTATGGAAGAATTGTTAGCTGTACATGCCTGCCTAGCATGGTTCATCTGACCTTGACCTCATTTTCATGGTTCATTGGTCAATGTTTAGTTTACTTGGTTAATGTTAAGTTTATGTGACAGTTGTAATAAAGCTTTATATTTAGGACTATCAACATAATATCAATGATTAGTAAAGAAGGCGAGACATTTCAGCGTCTGCACTCTTGTTTTGCTATGGTTCTTTTTATTTTTTATTTTGGTTTTTGATATCATGAATTTAACAATATATAGATATAAGAAGATGTGGTATGAGTGCCAATGAGACAACTCTCCATCCAAGTAAAAATTTATAAAAGTAAACCATTATAGGTCACAGTACGGTCTTCAACACGGAGCCTTGGCTCACACCGAACAGTAAGCTATAAAGAGCCCCAAAAAATTACTAGTGTAAAACCATTCAAACGGGAAAACCAACGGTCTAATCTATATAAAAAACGAGAAACACTTATGAACCACATCAACAAACGACAACTACTGAACATCAGATTCCTGACTTAGGACAGGTGCAAACAAATGCAGCGGGTTTAAACGTTTTAATGGTACCAAACCTTCACCCTTTTTCTGAAACAATAGTGTAACATCACAACATAGAAAGACACACTATAAAATATCAACTGAAATAGCTTAACTCAATCAAAGGACATATTAACACCATTGAACATACACTGAACAAATAAATTTGACCTATGACACAATGTAAATACAAAATAAATAAACTAAGGGAAGAATAATAAAGTAACATGTTATATCGGTAAGAAATGTTAAACAATTGAAGAAAAACAATATGCTCGAATAAAAATACCATCCATTTGCAATAACTTTAAACACAGGTAAATGAAAATAATTTTGTTGTTAGGTATACCTGTACAGTACCAATAGAGAAAGGAAATATTTTTACAAAATAAATAATTTTGAATACAAAATATCCATTCTTTTCTAAAATATTGATAAATTTTATCTTAAAGATGTTTGTTTAACTTTACTATGTAGATAATGCCCTGTCATTCTTTCTTGTTGTTCACTGTTATGCCTGGCACAAAAATAACAAGTTGCCTTCTATTGTACTGTGGATTCATTTATTTTCATGGGTTTCAATTTTCGTGGATGGAGGAAAACTTGCAATTTTGCAATTTGGTTGTTTTGATAATCTCTGCATACAAAGCTTATAGAAAATTTGCAATTGCAATTAGTTGAACATTTGAATTTGTGGGTCACTCGTGCCCACGAAATCCAGGAAAATTGGTATCCAACGAATAATAATGAATCCACAGTACTATAATAGGGTCAAGGTGTATAAAAGGTTTTGAAATTGAATTTTTAACACAAAATCCTAGCCAAATTATGCAAAGATGATGATCAAAATACATGTACTTGCAATTGTTTCTTTTATGTTCAAACGAATTTTTCATTTATACTTGAAAGTATATCATCAACTTTAACTGAGGTTTTCCATCAAATATTGTAGGTTGAAGAAATTGAAAACAAAGGTCGTGGGGTGATTGCCAGTAAAGATTTCTTCCGTGGCGACTTTGTTGTGGAATATGCTGGTAACCTAATTAGTCAGAAGATTGCAAAACAGAAAGAGTTGGACTATGGCAAAGACCCCAGTATTGGTTGTTACATGTATTACTTCACTCATAAAACTATTAATTACTGGTACGTTATAAATGTTTGGGAGTAAAAGGAGATATGGAGTATATATATCATTAAGGCAGAAACAAACAACCTTGAATTAAACACAAAAGACACTGAGAAGACAATACTGTAGAATTATTGTGAGAATTTTATTAATGCCAATAATATGACTAGGGGAGTATCACAATAATAAGAATTTGCATTGTGTAATTTGACGTACATTTGTACGCAGCTTTTCCTATAATTGCAATAATTATTCTTACATTTTTGTCGGTTATGTCGAAATTGCAATAGTAAATGCATGCAATAATTCTGAATTTACAGTATATAACCTAAGTCTTTCGATATAACACAGGTGAAATACAGCATATGTTAATCTCTATATAACAAGTCAAGAAACAACAACTTATGAGGCATATAATCTAGAAGTAAGGTTGAATAATTTATAAAAAAACTCAATCTTTTTAAAATTTTGATCAATGCTATAACAAATGATGACTTGGAAATTCAACAAAAATATTTCTTATGTGCGTTGAAAAAAGTTTGAATAAAGTTACTGTTCCATGAGATGACATGTTACTTCTCATCTTATGATAATTTGACAAAGAATTATATTCAAAATTATGAAAAAATTAAAATAACAAGAATATTGAACTCCAAGGAAAATTCAAAACCGAAAGTCCCTTAGCAAACGGCAAAATTAAAATCTCAAACACATGACTTGGTTCAGGCATTTCCTTATGGTGGATTAAACCTGGTTTTATAGCTAGCTAAACCTCTCACTTTGACAGTGTCATAAAATTCCATTATATTGACATAGTGTTTCCTGCAGGAGGTTTTGGCGTGGTATGGCGCCCTGCAGTGTTTTCTTGATGCCCTGCCCTTTTTAGGAAAAAAATTTGGCGCCATGCCCCTTTTCCTTCACATTTTACAATCCCGCCGTAATTAAATATCGGTTCTGCAATTCATTTTTTAGCAAGACCATTTCGAGTTATTTCCCTTGGAACAAAATCAAAATTTTAATGGCCAACATTTACAAGTTTTGAAGCGACAGAGTACAAATATGATTCACAATTGAATCTGATAGGGACAACATTGATTTGTACTTCTACGAATTTAAAATGCAGACAATTTAAAAGGGAACCAAGCATTTGTTTGAGTTACATGTATAATTTTATGATGCATGGGATGAACTTACCACTGATTACGTAAACAATCCGATGTTTGTTTATATTTTCTATTTACACTGTTCGGTAGGTCGAGACTTCGGATTGTGTGAGAATTTACATCGGCTTTCATACTGTTGTTATCTTAATAAAACTAAAGTTAAGAATATAGCTCATAATAGTTTTGAGTAGTACGAAAAATCAACAACATTTCAATAAAAAAAAATCACAAATGGAAAAAAGACGAAAAGCACAAGAATATGTATAGTAAGGCTTGCTATATAAATCTTTGAATATTCTAAATTATTTGTACAGTTATGAGCCAAGGTAACTTTGATTGGTATAAACATGCGAGATCTAAAAGGTTACATGTGGCACTTCTTTTGTGCATCTAAAATGCAATACATAATTTTGCATATATGCTCTTGGTCATGCAAAGTCCACTTTCACAACACATCCTTAGACAATCAGTCTCAGTAATCCAGTATTAAAGTTTATAACTGGAGTTATTGATTGAAATGAGGCAGTTGCGGAATGAACATGATCAAGATTCTATTAGCTGTCAGAGTTAAGAAGTGATAATTTTATAACAAAAAGGAATTAAATTAACAAATTAATATACACATCTTTATTTCTTACCCATAAATATGAAACACTGGTATGTTCTATTAAATCCCTATCCATTACAGTGCCTTTATATCTATGTAAAGAGTGTCCTAAAAGTGTAGTCCTCCATGCAAAGGGTGCCCTTAAATTGTAGCCCATTGCGCTAATAGTGCCCTCTCAGAAAAAATGATCCTGCCCTTTTCAAAAGCTGCAGGAAACACTATGACAACATAGTGTGAACAAAACAAACAGACATAATAGGTGAAAATGTCAAAAATTGGGGTACAGCTGTCAACATTGTTATAATCTCAATCACTAAATAATCTCAATCACTATAAAAACAAACAAGTATGTCAACAAAGCAAAACAAAATGGCATGTAGACACTATATAGACAAACCACATAAGCAAAAATGAAAGACGAATACAATAAATGACCATAGCACAATAACACAATGGCAGGATGTATTAATACTGAGCCATGCCAAAAGGATATTACCAAAAAATGAACTTAACAGTAAAGGTAAAAAATATACAAAGACAAATAAAAAGAACACTATAACACGTAAGATAGATGATAAAAACAGTGATTAGCTGTAAATTTGGAAATTAATTTATGCATTTGTTCATCAAAATAATCAAAAGTGGTCAGAAAATTGAAAATTATACAACCAATGAATAATCCTTTATTGAAATATTCATCCAAAGTAGAATAACTTCGAATAAATTATTGCCTTGCACATTTTCATGCCCCCGCAGTAGGCAACAGGGGCAATAAGTGTTACCCTTGGCTGTCCTTCCGTCCTTATGTCCGTCTGTCTCATTTTCGTTTCTGCACTCTAAATTAAGTTTGCCTCATGCGAAGTTTATGAAACTCATACACAATGCTAAGAACCAAAACAAGCAGAGTTCTAACTTAGACAGTGAGTCACTTACCTTTCTAGAGTTATGCCCCTTTATAACTTGGAAAATTGCAAATTTTTTCGTTTCCACAATATAACAAGTTTGTCTCATCCAAATTGTATGAAACTCAATAACTTAAGTTTGTCTCATCCAAGTTTTAAGAAACTGATACAAATTGCTAAGAAACACAACACACAGACGGAGTTCGAATTTGGGCTGTGAGTCATTACAGTTCTAGAGTTATGCCCCTTTATAACTTGGAAAACTGAAAAATTTTGGTTTCCACACTCCTTCTTAAGTTTGTCTCATCCAAATTTTATGAAACTCATACACAATGCTAAGAACCACAACGCGCAGACAGAGTTTGAATTTGGGTTGTGAGTCATTTACCGTTCTGGTGTTATGCCCATTTTTAACTTGGAAAATTGCAAAGCTTGAGTGGGGGCATTCGTCTCCTCAGACACATTCTTCTTTTATTTATTTATCACATAGGCTTTGAATAATTACAATGTTAATTGCCAGGTTGATATGTATTAAATGTCTTCTCTCCCCAGTCCTGCACAGTGTTTTTTCCAGTGCTTTTAGAATCATTGTAATGTGACGCTTTGATTTCTTAAAACAAGGTTGTATTTCAATATTTAGCATTTACCAGTATGAAATTTATGCAGAGAATGCTGCTGTGTTTTAATATATGATAAAGCACTGTTTATAAAAAGCTTTCAGTAGCTCCATTGAAACTGAGACTTAAAAACTGGTATTTGCGATTTCTTCATTAGGGGTTGTAGTAGAAAGAGCAATGACTTGCTGGCTTGAGTCATAATTATGTGTACTAGCAGAAGAAATGTTGACTTTTTTGTTTGTTTAATAGCAATCATATTTTAGTAGAGTAGAAGTTGGAAATATTTTTATCTCATTACCATGTTGATATCCTAAATTGAAGAAATATTTGCTGATCAATGTTTTGTGTCCACTAATCAATCAAGCATTTTGTTTACTAAATACCTGCCAAGACATACCTACATTTGCAATTTTTGCTTTGTCTTTTCTGTAATTGAACCATTGCTCATTTGATTGTTAATGACAAATACAAAACAACAATATAAATTTAATGCAGCATTTTTATTTTACCTTAGTGTGGACGCAACTGCAGAGAGTGGCCGACTTGGTCGTCTCATCAACCACAGTAGAACCAAAAACAACTGCCACATGAAATTAACAGAAATAAATGACCGACCTTACCTCATGCTCATGGCCTCAAGAGATATTTCCACTGGTGAAGAACTTTTATATGACTATGGAGACAGAAACAAAGAATCTCTGTCGTCACATCCTTGGTTAAAGTCATGATGGTTGGTTGTTGTTAGCTTTTATTGTTTTAAATTACCATGGTTACTGCGTATTGAATTGTTACTTTTAAAACAGGTGTTCATTGACATTTTGAATTTGACTGATTGTGTTGAATGCATGATTTTAAACAAACTCTATGTGTCTTGTGTATGAATGTAGTTTTAGAGTTTTTAAAAGAAGTTCAGGTATATTTGTGGTTGTTGTTTGCATAAGTATTTATTTTTGTAGCTGTTGCAATTAAATATTAATAGATATGGACGGAAAATGTTCAAAGAGTTGTTTAAAAAGCTAGTTTTTTTTAGCTACCTTGTATAAAATTATTTTGGAAGTCTAATGAATTTGTGAAAAATCATGTTTTAGAAAATTCTTGTAATATTGTTCTATGATCATGATAAAAAAAGTATGATTAAGGTTCCACTAAAGTCAAAATATAGGATACTTCATAACGCCTAAACTTTGCCTGTATTTTTCAACCTATAATGAGTAAAATCCTAAACTATGAAAACATATGTTCATTTAAATATCATGTATCTAGGTGAACAAATATCGAAGTTACAATACAGAAATTGGACAAATATGCCATTAAAACATATGTATGTGACAAATCAACATGAGCTTGCCCTGCATTAAATGTGACATTATTCATCCATACCAATTTTAAGCAAATTAAGTCGTCTCGCAGGCCTCCAGATTTTTTTGAAAATTTAGTGTTCACCCCAAGAACCAGTTTGGCCACAACATAACAATTTCAAGTTTATTTACAATTTACACAGTGTGTATATGTTAAGTATGTTTAAATGAACATATGTTCTCAAAGTGTAAGACTTTATTCATTATAGGTTGAAAAATACAGGCAAAGTTTAGATGTTTATGAAGTGTCCTATATTTTGACTTTAGTGGAACCTTACATTCACAGTATCTGAGTTAGTTATATATTTATATATATGCATTGTTCATTAATTTTAATAAAAAAAATTGTTTGAAATCAATAATAACTTCTAATTAGTTTTGGAATGTTTTATACATCGATGTCATAAGATCTTTTAGTTTTGTCATTAAATATTAAATATAAGACATTTATTTTGTATAGTCAGAGAAATTGATTAAACAAATCCTGGTTTGAGATGCTACTCTAAGTTTTGTGAAAAAGATTTAAATTGTGATGTCAAATTATTGATAGTCTGTTCAATTAATTCAAATTTTGTGTAAAATCTTGGTGATTTAGACTTGGTGTAGACATAAAACTATAGCTGAGAATCACATGTTGACTTTAAGAATTCTTGTAAGGTTTTAATGTTTGCCTAAGTGTCTCAATATTTCTTAGTAAAACTTAGATCCTAATTTGTCAAAAGATATTTTGTGAACAGAGCTCCAGCTTTTTTCCAATATCTTCCTATGTGAGATTTTACTGGTTATATTATAATTTCTTAAATATATTTAATGCAGTTTAAATATGCATTTTTATCAATTAATATTTAATGAAATGCTTTTGATGCATTTAAATTGTGGAATCATGTCTCAATGTCTAGAAGTTATGTGTTTTTTGTATTTTCAATTCTGATGTACTGTGTATGTTTATTGGATTAATATCAGAATACAATTTTATGTGTCTAGAAATGAATATAGAGGATTAAAATATCTCTTGTATTAGATTTGTATAAGTTGTGAATAGTTTTCGTAATTGTGTTATTTACATAAAGTTGAAGACACAAATGAACTTTTACATGTCAACATTTAAACAGGTATTGAATTTTCCATGTTTACTTTAATATGTAAATCCAGTCAAATATCTTTTGTTTAAGATAAAAAGAGTATATGAAAAAAGGTGGTGTCAATGTGAAACTAAAATGATGCATCCTTAAAATGTAATTTATGATATTATTTTCACCTCGTTGAAATTCTCAGACAACATATTTCCTAATGAGAAAAAAATAAATAAACATTCTGATTTCTATATTTGAATTTCACTTTTCATCTATTTTTAGGGTTTATGTTAAGTTCTGTAAACAAAGATAACTTATAAAAAAAATTGCTTGTGATGAATTATTTGGCACTTTTGATTCAATAAAGGGTTTTGACATGATGTTGGATATTTATGGATAATTAATTGGAAAATTGTTTGTGAAATTCATAGTTTACTACTACCAGAGTTCAAAGTAATGGCAGTCCAAATTTTGACCTTTAAATTGTATATTTAAATGCAAACAGTGTGGACCTTCAATATATGAAAGGTATTTTTAACACCTGACCTTTCATGTTCCAAGATAGGACTTTCTATTTGTACTTTCCAAAAGTTCTGGGCTTTTTAACCATGAAATTATTTTTTAACACCTAAGTTTATTCAAACACATAGTTTTTTTATTTCTTTTGATTTACACATTGTAAATATAACAATGCCCCACACATGAATTTGACAAAATAATAAGTGAAAAAGTTCACTTTATATCTGATTTATTAGACTCTTAAGTGAAAATTATTTTAAATGTAGTAATGAAATATAACAACTTATTACAAAATGTTGAAATGATCAGATTTTCGTAACTTTTTTTTTGCATTTCATGAAATTAAGCTGCCAGATCATGTTTTTAATGTTTCATAATTTAAAAAAAACACCTTAGAAACTAAAGAAATATCCTTAAATAGGTTATTGCACTGTAGATATAAAAAATACATAACTGTAACTATGGTCTTTCGCAATCTTATTTTGACCAGCATGCATGTATGCAGTTTAAATTTTATGGAGGAATGTTAAATCCATATTGATCTTTTATTGCTAATGTATATTTTTGTTTACAATGTACATCTCCATTGTTACATTAAACATTTCAAGACTCCCATTTCTCTGTTAATGTTAAAACAATGATAATTTTTTTGTATTGAATGTAATGAACTGAATGCAGCATAACAGCCTAATAAAATAGGTAAATGATATTTGTTTATGTATTAGATCACCTAGTCCTTTACACAGACACTAGATTTGTTGTTTGCCTTTGACAACTGTTACTCTTATTGAGACGTATGTATTCTAATGTAGGTGGAAAGCAACAGGATTCATTATTTGTATTAGTTTTGTATTTCTGAAGTAAAAATAGGGAGATAACCATTCTGGTATACAGATGTCTTATGGTCTGTTGAACTATATTTGGTATATAAATCATTGTGAGATTAATATGTTTATTAAAGAATGCCTGATGTTAACCTCATTCCAAGGGGTAATTAGTCAACTATATGAATACTTTATAGTAAAAGCAATAGATGGACTGTATTTGTTAGTGAGTCAACATCAATGTCTGGAATTACCTGACCTTGACCTATATTTTTTGTTTCTTCATGGATTACCATTAGTTTTTGTCTTGTCTTGAGGAAGTCGATATAGGAAACTTTAAGTGTATGGTTACCAGCATCGTTGTTGAAGGCCGTATAGTGACCTATAGTTGTTAATTTCTGTGTCATTTAATCTCTGGTGGAGAGTTGTCTTATTGGCAATCATACCACATCTTCTTATTTTTGATTCAGCCATGCTGGATCTAAGTGACCACTCCAGATTTGGAGATGGTGCAAAATTCTAGGTTGAAGACATGTCATGAAAATAATTATGTGTTTCTATGACTTGCAGAAACTTAGACATCATTTTAATGATCAACTGCCAACCTTTAATATGTTATTTGTCCTTAAATTAAGAAAAGGTTGGGCGAACAACTTCTTTATTTTAGATATACACTTGCATATAGTCCCTTTGTAAAAAAAATTTATATAAAATTGTCACTTATTAATTAATTCGGAAAATGTGATTTATCAAAGAGGTAGGGCCATTTTCCCGTGAGTTTTTTTCATTTAATTAGCTAGGTAAATCATGTTTTTAAATAGCCCGATAGATGCTAATTATAGTATATGAAAACGCGTCACATTATCTATTTTCATACCTTGAACAGGTATTCCTACAATAAGGCCAAGACTATTGAATTTTTTTTTGTTTATCAAAACCAATATTGATTTTGTTTGTTAGTGCCCCTGAGGAGCATTAAAATATGAATTAACAACTAAAAGATATTCAAAATTAGTTTTGTATTAAAAACATGGTGCTTCAGTTAGCGTGTTAATGTTGGTAGGTGATTTGTAACCCAGTTTTTGGTGGGGTTCGTGTTGCTGAGACTTTAGTTTTCTATGTTGTGACATCTGTCCTATTATTTGTCTGTTTGTCTTTTTATTTTAGGCCATGGCGCTGTCAGTTTGTTTTCGATCTATGAGTTTGAATGTCCCTCTGGTATCTTTCGTCCCTCTTTTGTAGCGTACATGTATTTCACAGCTTCGTTTAACTTAAAACTAACAATATATTAAACAAGAATGTGTCCATAATACATGGATGCCCCACTCGTACTATCATTTTCTATGTTCAGTGAACCGTGGAATTGGGGTAAAAACTGATTTAGCATTAAAATGAGAGAGATCATATCATAGGGATCATGTGTACTAAGTTTCAAGTTGGTTGGACTTCCACTTCATCAAAAACTACCTTGACCAAAAACTTTAACCTGAAACGGGACAGACGGACAAACGAAGGGACGGACGGACGGACAAAAGAACAAATGGACGCACATACCGAAAAACTAAATGCCCCTAAGTGTCGCCTAAAAAGGGGGTTAAATATAAATACAAGAAACATTTAATAATCTTATTATCTGATATAAATCAGCTAATCTGATTCAAGATCAGTCTCTGTTTATTGCCAAGAAGCCAAAAAATATCAGACGCATTTAACTGGGATGTTGTTTTCCTCAATCTGGATGTATCTATATCTATACACTGTTCCGGTTTTTAGGCAGTTAAGCTGCCTTATGCTAGCACCCTAGATTTGTGTTCTTCCCAACGAACGTTGAAAAAAGTGCCATTATAACAATCTAGCAGGCTGATATGTTATTTATAACTAATTGGACCTTTTTTTCATACTTTTAATTCTGGAATACAAAAAATATAACCAGAATAACCTTAAATGATCGTCGAACGACCCATAATATTTGAAGTTGCACATAGGAAATAGTGCTCAATAGAAATCCGTACGTAGTTTATTATCCCCTGTGCTTTTGGCTAAGATGTCAAAGAACAATTGTATGAAATATTTCATCGCCGAAAATATGTAATTACTAGTCGTTTATATTTCCCAAATGGCAAAATGCGCAGGAATATTGTTCATGTACAACAAATCTCTATGACAGAGGAAATAGTTATATATCTAAGTTGGCGGTAATTTTACAACTTTTCTTGTCAAATAAGGACAAATAAGGTTGTCGTTTTATGAATGAAACGAAGTCATGAAACAGATCCGGAAATCGACGTCGATGGGATGTTTTAAGCAATGTAGACAACACGTCCCCGAGACAAGTCGGACCGAATCCACTCGAACCGTCTAAGAAGACAACTCGGACCGCTTGTCAGATTTACTTAGGGTTTCATAAAATGTTAGACTAACATGTCTAGCGGAGCCATAAATCTTTTGTTTGTGCATTGGGGTCTATTTAGGGGTATTTTGAGGGGCCTAAAGAAGGGATGGGTTTACTGTAGAACCCTATGGGGTTTTATTTTTTAAATTTTCAAATGACTATTTCTCGAAAACAGTAAGTGATAGACACACGCGGTCTTCAGTAATGAGTAAAGGACAATAAAACAAATCAAATAAAGTATAGGGTGAGTCCCTGTGGGTCATCCCAACCCCCTTCAATTTGAAAATGTGCTTTTATCTTGTAAACGGTCGCAATCCCCACCCTTAAACCATATATATACTTGTATGGGACAATAAAACAAATCAAATGAAAATAATTAGGGGGATTACCCGGTGTCACCCACCCCC